TTTTTTTTATCTGGGTAATAAGTTTACGAACCAATATCCCATTTATCGTATTTCGCATTGCCTAACTCTTCCATAAATTTGCTGTAGCTGTTATCGTTGCATTGCTGCTCTTTTTCGTAATAACTGTTATAGAGGTCAAAAACTTGTTTGATTCGCTTCATGTGACTCGGCTCGCTGCTATTCGTCATTATCCTGCACGCATCCTCTGCATTCACATGGAAGGGGCTCTAAATCCGGATATTTTACTTTTTATTTTTTTTAAAGGCACATAAGTTTTTAGTTTTTTTCTCGAATTCGAAAAATTAAAATCCATTGTAATGTTTACACAAGCAATGGCTTACAGTATTGTGAGAGTAAGCATACATTAAATCATCTTTCACATTTCTTCTAAGTCCCACATACAAAAGCGTAGAATTTGATTATAAAGCACTTAGAAAGTGAAATTTCATTTTTTTTAAAGCACTTAGAAAGTGAACTTCCGGTGAACTTACCTCTTTTCATGATTTTTCTCTTCTCTAGAAGTATTTCTTTCGTTCAAGGTAAGAAATTAAACCGACGGTGATTTCAGATCTGTAGGTGCTATATTTAAAGTCTATTGTAAACGTGTAATGTTATAGTGGTGACGATGAATGGGATAAAAATAATAGTAGTGATGATAATGATAATAACAAAACAGTGATGGCGATGATAATAACAATAGTAGTAATGATTACATAACCGTTATTATTAATATCATCATCATTACTATATTGTTCTCACCATTATTATTGTTATTATAATCAGCAACGGTATTACTATTAGTATTATTATTTTGTCGTAACAGTAATAATAGTGATAATAACAATAATACACTACATCACGTGTGCGAGATGTAGGGGAATTTGAAAGAGAATGAAGGAAAAGGATAAACAGATGAACTTACGCGATTGTCGTTGGTGTACTGTACTATACCTTCAAACAGATACAGAATGTTTGCTAGGAAAAATTGCACATCTTTCGGTTTGACCGGTTCCGGAAATGGCTCACATAAACTAAAAAATA